TGAATGATCAGCGAGGCAAGAAACAGGCTGAGGTATAACAGTGGTGAAAATGTTTTCAGTCAGTTTATCATCTGGGTAGGTCGAATGGGACTAACCGGCGTGTGTCAACACGCGATAACCGATATAACATTAAAATAAGATTATAAACAGTACCTGGGTTTTTTGTAAGCTAGTCTACTGCCAGAGTCTGAGAAATTTCTTCTGAGAATGATGTTCTATAGCAAGGAAGCACAAAATGATCAGGGTATTTTAACTCTCACGGAGCAGACTTCTACGTCTTTTTTAATCTTCAGCTTGCAAGAGAGGACGCGAGGCTGCCATTCAGAACTCTAACGATTGATATTATTGACCATACTAGGGCTTGTCAGTTATATCCTTCGGGGTCACAGGGTTGCTTGTCGTAGTGCCAGGCGAAATCCGCTCAGGACGATAGCAACTAAAGATAAACATAACCCGGTCAGTGGCCAAACACAGAGTCAAATTCTCCAAAAAAGAAAAAAAATAGAATAACGAAGATGAAATCGACGCGTCAACTCACTAAAGAGAAGTTGAGGCTTTTGTCTGTCCTAGAGACAATCAACAAATTTAGCAGGCCTACTTATGGTAATACTAGATTATGTGGTGCACGCGGTGAGTCAGCAAGGTTTTATGCACTCCCTATATGACGCTTGTTCCTGCCAACACGGGATCCACCATTATATAAGTTAACCATGAATGGCGTTTGGCGGTTGTGACACTTTATTGTGGTTAGCATACCAAGGAGACGTAGGACACCAAAGGGAATACAAGAGTGACACCATTCGTCAAATGATATAAACAAGCTAAAAGTTGTTTATTCAGTGTGGCTTTCTTGAACTTATTTACCGACTATAGGTTTAGGCTGAAACCACGTAGATGCCCCTTTTATTGTTTTTCCTCATTCTCTAGCTGCTCATCACGGCTGTTTTGGAATTTAATTTCTCATTGCAACTAATAGCATCAGTAATCACAGTAGTATAGTCAAATAAAGACTGGTGATCAAACTATTTACCTGGTAGTAGCTATAGGGCCTCTTCTTAGACTGCTTTGCAAATAGGCGGGCACAGAAAATAGGCGGTTTTGACCGTCACACTAAAAGATATATATTGAAGATGCTACCTCGATACTACTTCGAAGGGCTCGAATGCCACATGGATTCCAAATGACAATTCTCAGCCAGGCTTATTTCCAGCAACTGGGCATCTTAAAACCTAAACATGGACGAATCGTGAAAGATCTACTAACCTACGGAATACGCGTCCCATCTTGGTCACGTCATATTCATAACTACGTGTTGGGAAGTACGAAAAAATGAATTAACGCTTGGTTACATTATCATTAAAGAACTCCCAAGGATCCTCGATAGATTGTTGGCTCGAGGGCGGTACACATTTGACAAACCGCAGAGTAAGTTAGTTAACTGTATGTTTGATATATTAGGCTGGGTAATCCAGATGGAATGGATTTATATATCCAAGAATCTGAGCTTGGCATTTAGGTTTTATAGAGGTGTCACCGAGCAACATTAGTAATACTAAAACTAAAAAAATGATGATCATTAAAACCACAACCTGAACAGAGGTGAGCGAAATTCATATACCGGAAGAAACCTCGCTGTACTCCTCATTCATCATGCTATTTTACCGTAAAATCCATAAATCGCGTGTCTCTGCATTCTATAGCTTACACCAATAGTTCTCACCAAAAACAAAGAATCATCAGGTTCGTTTTCAGATAGAGCGAATGCCTGAGAATGTTTTTTGTGAGATCTCAGTTGGAGCGTGAGATTTTGTGGTGTTTTAGCCCTCTCAGATACCGTACTGATGAGTTTACTTCATTTTGAACATCCTACAGAGACCGAAGGTGCAACATTACTGAAAATGTTGTCTGACCAATTTTCCTGGGTGCACTCAATAACCTCCTCCTTCTCCCATGGCTTATGCACATTCCACTGCTTTACGACTCACGTGTGAAAAAATTTGCTCAATGGTCAAAATAGAATGCCTATGAAATTTTTTTACAGGGCGGATATTAGCACCATTCGTGATAGCTAAGTTAATCTGGTTTACTGCTATCAAGTGCAGCCCTGATTTATCATTTTCAAGAAGCAAAAACCGAGCAGTTTTTTCTTGGGTTTAGCAAAATGTTGATCTGAAAAAATACACTCACTTGCTGATGATGTTGGTTTTAGCAACAGATTCATTCACGTCTCTCATTTATGAATTTCGTATACTGCCCATTGCTTCACCAGAACAATATCCGAGATGTCACCTTATATTTCATCGATAAACCAAGCTGCTCATTATGTCACAGAGTTTTCGTAAAACTTGTAAGTAATGCGTTCCCTCAGGTAGTCTCCGGAGGCTTCCTCTGGTACGAGTACTCTTCCATCAAGAAGCTGTGGGTACATCTCGGGCTACCGTAAAACAACGCACTATTTTTGTAGTGAACTGGTGCTCCTTAAGCTGATGGCTATTGCGGTGATTTTACGCTGATTAGAAAACAAAGTTGTTTGCACACTGGGGTGTTTTTACCATTCAGTTAAATAATAAATTATAAGACAACAAATAAATGGGACAATTAACTAGGATATTGATATTTTGCGCTCACTGGGACGGAGTGGGTTAGTAAGATTGTCAAATTATACCTCCGCAAAAATCATTGGGGCAATTTAACGAGTGAGTTTCTTTGCTAGCTGAAGAGCGAATCTGGGGTCTATAAAGACGATAATTTTGGTTTATGTTTTATCAAATCACGTAATCCTCGGTAACCAATTAAATCACGATGAACATGAAATCCCTCGGCACCAACATCAGTCAGATTACATTCGTGAGATAATGGGTAATGGGAGCGCACTCATGTTCTGCACCAAAATATACAGCACTCGGTTGAACTTGGCAATCGATCTGTTCACACTACGCAACCAAGCAGTAATTCGATCTACATTACTCTGGGAATCGGTAGCATGTAAATAAACGGAACAAAGATCTAAAGTAGAATCTTAATTTTTGTGGCCATCTCATAGTTAACTGGCATTCGTTTACTTGTTTGCTCACCATCCGAAGACACGGTGGTATAAGTGGTGCCCACTGTCAATGTCCAAGGCACACAACTGTCCACGTACCAAGAAGTTAGACCCATTTACTTTTAGCTATCAGAGCAATCTTTTAAAACCCACATGAGTTGTTCAAAAATTGTTTTCTACTCAGCTATTAGAATGGACATGCATCCTGTAGCTCGGGGCTACCTGGAGCGCGCCAGTACTCTACTCCGTGTGCTTGGGATGACAAGCAAATTATCAGTTAACCGAAAGGATCCTCCGTCCGTAAAATCTAATATATTCAATCCCTGGTTGAATTTTTCAACATCTATGCTGAAGTTTATGCAAGTTCAGAGCCATGTATGAGAGGATTCAGTAGTAGAGTGTGTGCAGACCTTGAAAATTGGCCCAGTACTGCTTGTAATAAAACAAAGTCCATTCGGTAGCCTTATAGCGGAATCTTGGGACAGCCTCTGTGCTTCACACTACGTGGAATGATAATGACATGGATTTAAGTACAAGAGACACCACCAGCTCTTCATTTCTACCACTCTCAACTTACTTGAGCTCAAGCACCTTTTCTGACCTCACTTATACAGTACGGTTGTCAGTTAACAATTTCATCGCAAGAATTCTCTGGAACATGTTACGACTTGAATTAAAAAATACACTCCCATAGGTTTCAAGCAGGTCAGTTTTGCATTCGCGATTTACACACTTGGCAATTGGAAGCCGAGAAATAACAAAGGTATCACTGGTTTAGTAAGGCATAGGTCTGCCACCGTTGGACAACTTGTGGAAGACGATACGTGCTATTCAATCGATTTGTCCTCCAGAAGCTCTATGAAGTGAATCCATTTTGAAGTTAAGCTGGGTTGTTAACCACAGTGGTAACCATAACTCCACGTCAGCAAGCTACCGGTTATGTTCCTCTTCGGTATCGTCAGATATGTGAAATTCCATAATTGTTCTATGCTTGAGAATCCACACACTTCCGGAGCATCGATCTCAAAACGAGGGATACAAGTGAATCCCAGTTGAATCTCGCGTTAAAACCAAATTAATTCCTTGACTAGTATGTTCCGCCATTTGACTGAAATTTGATGACCCAGCAGGGTGAAACTTTAATGAAACCTCTGGATATACGCCCACTCGAAAAGCGGTGAGAAAGAATAAACCGGTGGTGAACTGTAGAAGAAATTTCACCAACCCCTAAGCGGGGTGTTCTGTCACGCCGTGTTTGCCCTTAATAGCATAAATCTGTGTATTTATCGTGCTTTTACTAGTAACCGATTATTTCAGAGGATTTTTTGGAAGCCATGTTCGCTTTGCTTTGATTACCTTAATCTGGATTGCATTCAGTCATACCTGCACTGCAGATCGACAATCACTCAAATGAGCCCCGAAGGAATCACTGGTTTACGTATTCTTCGCGTGAAAGTGCCACTCCTGGGTCATTCTAACTTTATTAGAACAGCATATAAGCTATCGACATTAAATATGATTGCAGCTGTGCTCCGTTCTTTTTATTACTACTCATAGCATCTGAGTTGCCACGGCTGACTTAGTTTGTATGTTCCACACATGTTTGTTTCGTCCGGTGTATCGCTTGTCTCCTCCGTCATTTTCAGCTCGGATCAGGTTTAATAACGTCGATAGACAGTTATTTCTTTTCCTAATCTCATAAACCAAGCTTCTGTGGAGTCCCCGATGTTATTCGGTTACGGAATGAAATTTTCAGATTGATATAAATCTGCTGAAGTTTACGCTCCAAGGAGACTAGATCCCGTCATGGCAGCGGTCTCTCATTTGTGTCCATTGTAAATTTTCTGGGTATGGTGGTTGCAGTCGCTGAACACATTGAAGAATTGAGTAGTCACACCTATTTTTATTTGGTGTCATAGAATTCCAATAATTTTTCTTCCGTTCAACTCCATTTCAGCTACGTGACACACGAAACAAAACATTTCATCTATTTCTATTTTCGAAATAATGCTGTCCTTCTTTTCAAGTCTGGTTAATTGAAATATACTGATTTATTATCAAGATGAGCGAATTCTTCAGTTACCACAAGTGCCATTTTGTCAAAAACCGGGAATACTATTTGGCTCTTTTGTCGAACCGCTAATGCAACGTACCGTGTCGCTTTCAGTGTAACGGCATTTATTTCACACTGCAAGAGGAATTACTCAATTTCGTACCAACTTATCTGTCCTGCACAGTTTTATTGACCATTCCACACATGCAAAAGAACGTGACTACGATAGCTCAGGCGACTTTTGTATCATCAACCATCTTTATTTATATGTAGTAAGGACGTATGATATCGCGTTAATAAAAATCGAGACATCCAAGCAAATATAGAAAACATCAGTACTAAAGTATGTTCATTACGACGACTGTTGGCACAACCGAATGAGGACTAAAGTATTTTGTCCATGTTATCTGATAAATGCGAATTAACCCATTGAATTAAAATTGTTTACTATGCCGCCTCCTACACACTGTACTGCGGCTTCATCTAAATGATTATGGGCTCCCGAGAAATATTTGCGAATCCCAGTGGAGCCCATATGCACTCTCTATAAGTTGTCATGTTGTTGTTGTTTTGTACGTTCTGTGAGGTGAAAAGGGCATCAGTTGAAACGGTTCAAACCAGTAGACTTGATCGACTTGATCTTAACGAACTTTGAGGGGAACAACGAGTGAATCCATCGTCAAACATGCAATTCTAGGTATTCTGATTGGCCTTATGACCGTCCGATCAGTAGCCGGTCCATCAGCTATCGACCCAGTCCAAACGGATCAACATTATACTCGTGACTGACTCAAAATTACTGCATCATATCCTAGTGAAATAGTTGTCTGTTAATAGAGAAAGCATCGGACGTAATAGGCTTGAAAGGCTATATTATTTTGAGTTTCAAAACCAACCCATTGATCGTTTTGAACGTGGGAAACGAACACCTACTAACTCGTATCGTTTTAACACATATGGGACAGGTGAGTGAGATCATCTTATCAGGGTGAGCTGTCAGCAACCATTGCTCGGAAAAACTTTCAAATTCTTGGAGTCAAAAATGTACTGTCAGGTAACCATATCGACTAGCTGATATTTATGATGAAATTCAAAGTTTGTATAATTTCTAGGTTAATACTTGAGACCAGTGGATCAGAATGCCCAGAAGCTGTACCTGGGGCATTATCTCACTGACATTTCAACATATTTGGCCAATTTGGAGAGATCAGTTGCCGTGTCCAAACAAGCGTGGTCTCCAAATGTTGGTGGCTTCCCATAGCAGCCTCCATGGTACCTAGCAACTTATAGTGTTTAATTGATCTTTGTTCTGAAGGTGAGAATAGCGATCATGAATACATAGTGCCAACATCACCTAATTGTAAGTTCCGAGAAGATAAAAATCTTCCAATTAGCTTGCAACGTTCATGTGCTGGTTTTCCACGCATCTTAGAAGGGGGTGCTTTTTATTTTAGGTAGATAGCAAAGGAGCTTCAAAACGGGCAAATCTAATTTCACTGACAGAGTGCAGTAGGGAGAGTGGGGTTTGCAAGAGTGGGAGACCAGTGCACCCTGCCTAATTCGTGATATCAAGAGAATTAAGAACCCTTTTTCAGAGTGCAGCGTGAGTAAATGGCGTCATCACTAGTTTCGTTAGTTGGTATTTTACCACAGAACAATTTTCTGATAATAAATTGAACAATAACAAAGGAAGGATCACATTGGTGTTCTTTAATTTAAGGCCACGGGGCCTGGAGTTTACAAGGAAAGTGCGTAGGTCTGGGTCCATAATTCCAAAGGAACAAATACACTTAAGCTGGTACAGGAGCTAAACTCAAGTTAATTTCTGTAAAAATGTGAAATGAATATTTTTGCTCCTCAGTCATTACAGACGTTCCATGGTTTCCCTCTGAAAAAGACAAGTGGTCCAATATTTTGCTAATTTATATTACGACATATGTGATTCAAAAAGCTGACCAAGCTGTGCGGATTTAGTTACTTTCTTGTAAAAATTCCAAAGCTGTAGCACTCAGACACAAATCGTGAGACACTCACGGTTTGGTATTTCTAATTAGAGACGGCTTTGCGCACATCTGGTATCACACAACACAAGCCAACTATCGATTTCAATGATCGGTCATTCTGTTGCCATCGGTAGGCTAAAGAACAGAGAAATCGATAAAAACGAACTCCGGGTGGATGCTCTGGGTATACAAAACAAGTAGTGATTCCGCTACTGGTTTTCATAAGGGTCTGCAGATGAATATCGCTTTGATCTTTGGAGACGGGAGGTTGCCCTCTGTCTCTCTACAGTTCACATGCCTATAACAACTCACTGTTTGTAACTTCGTACGAATCAGCCGGCAATAGATCAATTCACCGACACCTCATGACCCTATAATCTTAACCTATTTTGCAAACGGATGTGATGCCTAATCCACTAGCATGAACCATTCTCGATATAACAGCTGATTCCTCCTTTACCGCTGTAAGGTAGGATGCTGGAATGGCATATTTAGTTACAGACGCTCATACGTTTTGCTGAGTAGCAATTTCAAAGAACGAACTTACTGTTTATCGAAGAACCCTGCATTTCAAGCGGATTTCAACGCTTGAACATCCAAATCTGCGGCGAAGCTGATATGTTGAGTGACATTTTACTTGAATAGTTGTTGAATGTTGTTACATCTAAATAAGCGAGATGCGTCCGCTTTTGACAGACAATATGCACCCCAAATATTCCACCCCAAAAACGAGATTGTATGGTAATATTACTACTGAATGGAAAGATGCAAAGGCATCCAAAAGTCTTGGAGGTACGGAGCCCTTTGCTTGTTGTTTTGTGAACATTCCGAGGTAGTAGATCCCCCGTACTCCGGATTCACTTCTTCCAAAATACAGAGAATTTTTCTGTTCACCAGCTTAAAAAGGATAATATTTTTGTGGATAGCAGAAACCGTAGAATCTTCAAGTGGATTAGGAGACTAGATAAACAGAAATGCGAAATTATATGATGATAAAGAGAGACGAAATATTTTAGTGTTAGCACTGTTTTCCACCATGTTTGCTGAAGTGTAGAGATAGTATTCCAAAATAAAATCTTGTGTAAAAGGCTTTTTAAATAAGTAATCTGCCCATAGGTGTTCCAACTGTTCCAAGGAACTAAGCATTTGATGGATAACGCAGAATATGACTACCAAGAGAAGTCATTCTAAATTAATCATAGCTGGATCTCCTTGTTTAAGGGACCAGTTTTTGGGTTGCAGTCCTTCATACCGAGTTTTACTACCACCAACATTCGCAACATCAGCAACTCAAAAGGCTGCTGAAAATTCTTCGAAGGGTTTTCAGCAAACTTGTGAGTAGTTTCCTTTATGAAAATATACTGCGATGTCTCGAATGTCGTAAGAACTGTAACATTAGGCGGCCTATGTGCAGCACATTTAGTCGTAGAATATCATAAACGAGAGATTTAGTTGAGTCTCTCGTGAAACTAAATTGATTTGTAAATGAGTGTATTTCTCAATCACTAGTCGTAGTTTCAGCCACCACTAATACAAATATAACATTTTTACCCGAAATTATTAGGTGCAAACATGTGAGTAATTGTATCTACCTGTGATTGAAAAGCCGTATTGTTAATCAAATTGTAATTATGGTAGCATCCATCACTATCTATTTCATAATGACTTAGTTAATCTACTTCTTGCATAATCCTGGCCAGGTTTGCCGGAGTTTTTCGTGCCTCACATAGTATTTAACTGCAATGATTAAAGGATGTTTCAGAAGGGTTGCCAATGAGACAGACAGTTACCGGTTTTCAGCCAATCACTTATGCTTCAAGTGTTTACCGTTTATGAAATAGTAAATAAACTGTGTAAAAATTAGAGGGTTTACCCGTACTCACAATGGCAAAAAAAATTTGAGTGGGTTCAATTTAGATAGCGAAAATATTAGTCAGGAAATAATAAACGGTCGCGAAATAAGCGGGAATTTACAGATTGTTAATCGTTCAACAATTTAAATGATCATCAGGAAGAATGGCTTGAACATTTATGGGGCAACACACAAGTCATATTCGACAAAAATCTTTGCCTGAAAAACATCTTGCCCGAAGTGCCATACAGATAGATGCAAAACCCAGCAGCTGAGAACAAACTCAGGTACGGATCCTACCAAGAAAGCTATCGCTAATGTTTAGGCTTGCTAATCATCTTTAGGTAGCAGTTGTATATAGACACACGAGTTTAGCTTAGATACTCATTTAGTCGTTTTCACAAACCTCGAATGCGATTTGATCTGGATACTCCTTTTGGCCAAGTGGTCTGCTCCACACATTCCATTACCTCCTGCGGATGGTTTGGGGGACACATGTGTATTGCTCTCCTGTTGAGGCGCCCGAGTTTAACAGTGGTACGGAAACATTGAAATTAATCTCCTTTAACGTCTATGAGTGTCTTCTGCGGACTACTCATTCTACGGCAGTCGACATATATAACAGCCGCGGATGACAACCTTAGATAACTGGCATGGGGTAGCAGTACCGGTTGGTATTTACTTCCATTCTAGATGAAACAGGACACAGTTGTCAGCAGTGGTCCATTTACAACTGATTGAATTTATTAAAACGCTTGTATGCCGCATGTGTTTTCCTTGTTGAAACACCAGGCGACAAGAATGCAACATGGATTGCGAACACAATCTACGTTCTATTCCCAAAAGTTGCCATGGTGACACTGACGTTTTGCATGTCAGCGAAGTTACGAATCTTTGGATTGGTGTTTTGTCCTGACGCACGGTCGGCGCAAAAAATTTTCTAAATTTGTTTTTGGAGGTACCACAATTTTACTACAGTGTTATTATAAAATCTTGGTTATTAGAACTGGCCCGGATTATGTGGCTCAAATATCCAGTGTGCAGATCTTCCAAGAAAGCTCCATGTTTATTAGTGAAAAAGCGAAGTTCTCTCCCTCTGAGGACCATTCAAATAAGTGCGAG